TAATGACAAGTTGTTCAGTTAAATTTTATCTTGCTTCTATCGCGCACTTAGACAATTAAGCCTGAATTGTATTAGTTATTTATTATATTTATGTATAATTCTTGCACATGCTGAAGGCTTATCAGAGTTCTGAATAAATAAATTCTCACCATATACTTATCATTCCGGATAATGGAAGTCCAGATTTCGGACTTTGTACTGTAAAATATATGAAAGGCTTCAAGAGTGCGAAGCATTGCTGAGAAAACAGAGTTACAGAGGTAAGTCCATTTAACATTGAGGTAAATTGGCAAGATAGTGCCAAGCTGGCAATGGTTTTGGCAACTAATTGTTGTTGCCAAATTTGACAAGAAATTGCCAAAAGTCGCCAAACTTGGCAACATTTTGGTCCTATACCTATGTAACTGTGTACTTCAAACAATTTCAAGAAATCAAAGGCACTGGAAATTTCTTGTCAGACAAGGTAAAAAGACCAAAGAGAGTATCAGTTTTCAGTTTACTTCAGAGTACTAAGAGATTAATGTTCAAACTTATGCATTTGACACTTTTTATACTGCCTTATGTTTAATGTCCTAGTAGTTAAAAGTTGTAATTATTGAATATGCTCTGTTATACAGAGTAGAGCTGTATGAATACTTTTGTGAAAAGTTCAAGAACTTTTCAAGTCATCATCTGTTCTGTGTCCATTCAATCCTTTACATACTCATACACATGTAACAGTGTTATGAATGTTCCGGCACAATTAATAACTGCCATGTATACTAAGAGCCTTGTTTTAATACAGATCTAGCTACTACAGATCCTTTCCATAAATGTATGAAGCCTTCATCCATTAACTGCTTCCAGGTAAGCAAAACAATACTGGCGGATTGCCCAACCTGAGCAGCAATATCATGGTGTAAGAAACCACATTTTTTAGTCCAATAATTTATCCTCCTTTCAAATCTGTCAACTGTGTAATGTCCTTTTTTTGGGGCTGAGATTTGATTTCTATGGCCCTCTTTTGTATCTCCCAGGTCTGCTTTCAACCAGCACTGTACATGCATCCTATTTACATATGTCCGCTGGTTTTGTAATCATTTACAGTTTGCATGACAAAACAATATATCTGCTGAATCTCAAGCAGATCTAATAATTTTCTTTGGCTATGTAATTTCTTGAATAGCAGTATACATACAAAGCAGATCATTCAAACTTATAATGCAAAATATCTTGAAACATAATATTGGAAAGAAATATGAGCAAAAATTAATTTATTATTTATTTTTTTATCTGTATAGGAAGAAAAAATAAGAATGCCTGCCATGTGTAGTTTCCAAAATCTCATTTTCAGTTATGCAGTGGTATACAAAGTTAATTTGAAAATCTAAAACCAGGACCATCTGTGGTGTGAGGACCATACATTGAGAAAATATCACCTTTCAACGAATGTATTGTAAAAGAATTGACATCTCTGTTGGGATTAGTTAAAAAGATGATATAAATAATGTATTTCATTTGAATACTAAACTGGCGCCATCTTTTATTGTTATTATAAACAAATACTTTATGAAATATATTATGCATCGTAAATTGTTGTGTCTAACCTGAATATACTTAAGTGCACATGAACCTGGGTTAACCATTATGCAATATATGCACGTGCTTAGGGAATCAAGGAAAAGGGTCATCACAAAAATGCCCTTAGGTATTCAGGAAAACGGGCACCAACAATTTTCCCATTACCATGCAAGCTAAACCAAAACCGAAAAAGAGAAGGAATGAAAAAGAAAAATAATAATAATAATAAAATTTATGAAAAATGAATATTGAGAAATGTTACATTTTATAAGAAAAACATTGATATAACATATATTGAAAATTATACATAGCGACTTTCAAAACACAGTACATAATATCATATACAAATAATTAGGAAATGAGAAAGTCTATGTATAATTTTGCAATGCACTAAAATATGCAACATCCAATTCCGGTAAATAATACTCAAAATGCATCTGTGCAACTCTAACATGATCAAAATCATTTAGTAGGTGCGGTTAGAAAATACATGTGGAGTTGCATATTGGCAACATTTTCGATATATGAAGAGTGAAAAAATGTAGTTGTTGCAGAAATGTATTCAGTTCTGAATAAAATGAATCCTTAAAGAATATTTTACTTCTAAATAAAACATTATGCAACAGTTTAATGCTATAAACATTAACCTCAGTAAATATTTTAATTAAATATTAAATTAAATAATAATTTAATAAAATTTAAATTAAATAATAATTTAATATTGCAATAAAAATGCAATAAAATTATAATTAAAATTATTATTTAAATTTAAATAATAATTTAATATTTTAAGCAATAAAATGCTACAGAATCACACTTTTAATTCCAGGCTTTTAATCCTACAGAGTGATGCAGACTTGCTTACATTTAGCTTAAAAATAGCTGAATGAGGCATTAATTAGTTAGTTAGAGACGTGGTTTCCTGAGCCGGAGCCATATCCCAGGGTAATAAGTGTTAATGAAGTCCTAATACCGTAAATAGCATAACATTTAAGTAAAATGAGACATTAGTGCATACAAGAAAATCCGCTATTACACAGAACCTATTGAACCTACTTTAGTAAACTCTACTTTTAGAAATACAGTTGTTACATAGAGTTGTTACTTACACCTTCTTTTGAGTTGAAAAGAGCATAAATTTAGTTTTTTCAAAAATTAGAGCTACGTATGCGATAAATATATTCGAATACACACACATACAATTGTGACTTTTTTATAAATAAAAATTTTACAATTGTTCCGCTGTCTCAAAATGGCGAAAAGTGTTAAGTCAAAATGTTTACAAAAACTGGTCCAATACCTATTATAACATATGTATCACACTAGCACAACGTTATCAGTTCTGTTGAAATACAGCCGTAACCCTCACATGATTACATGGCATATTGGTAAAAGCTGGAAGCGATGCAGAGGTGACCAGAAACAGGTCAGTTACAGTGACATTATAAAGTTGTTTATTTTTATCTCAAGAATGGTGGCATGAACTGCCTATTATAGAGGTCACAAATAATTTAAAGCTTTGCTTGTCTTAAAAATTCTCTTTTTAATTGTTTTTAATAACAAAATAAAATATATTTGTTAAAGTAACCCTTCACTGCCAACGTTTCCATAAAAAATATAATGCAAGAATAAAAATAACTTTTATTGCATTATTCAGATTTTTCATGATAGGGAAAGGAAATTTCAATAGTGGAAGGAGCGAAACGATTTTATAAGGGAAGGAATGTAGTTTGATGTGTTGAGTAAAATAGTAATGAAACATAAAGGTATTAAACATTTGAAAGCATTAGGAAGAGCGAGATTGGAAAATTAGTATCATTAAGTAAACAAGAAAAATTATTAATGGTGTGAAAGTGTTCAAAGGAATCCAGTTGATTAAATGAAGAAGCTTTATGGACAATTTTTGAAGATTCCATATTAAAATGTAACTACACGACCGTCGTACTTAGCTAAAAAAAAATTATTTTTCTCTTTTGAAAATTAATTCATATTTCCTGACTAGAAATTTCAATGCTTTTTCAATTTGGTCAATATACAACAAAAACATGATATATATATCAAACTATGCTAAATTACACAATTAGAAGCACATATGGGATCTTTAAGAATCAAAAAATGAATTTTACTGGTAGTTGAAAAAAATGACTTAAATATTAAACTTATGGAGAAGTTAAGAAATTTTGTAATTGATAATAAGTTTAAATAATTATTGGGTATGTGTCAGTTAAACTTCACTTTTGGCTTAATGTCCTGCTGACTAAATGTCTTGACAGTTAAATGTCCTGTAGCTAAACGTTCTTAATAACTTTGTGACTCTAAACGTGCTGTCGGCTAAGTGTCCTAGTCAGCTAAGTATTCTGTTGGCTAACTGTCAGTGTCAGCTAAATGTCCTGTCGGCTAAGTGTCCTTGCAGGCTAACTGTCTGTGTCAGCTAAGTGTCGATGTGGGCTAACTGGTGTTGGTTAAGTGTTTTGTCAATGTGTCACGGATCCTTTGATAATATCTTTTCACAGATGAAACAACATTTCATTTTAATGGGTGTATCAATCATCACGATTGTCGCATTTGGGAATCACAGCAGCTGACGGAAATCTACCAGTACATTTGTGGTTCTCCAAAACTTAATGTTTGGTGCAGCTTGCTATACGATTGCATTGTTGAGCCTTTCTTTACAGAGTACCTTTATACCTCAAAAAGTTATCAGAATATCTGGAAATTTATGTCTTTCTACAAACCGATGATTTGGAATCTGTAACTGGGAATAATATTCTCTTCATGCTGGACAGAGCTCCTCCTCTTTTCTGTGCATGAAGTCTTAAATGAGAGGTTTTCCAAATCATGGGTTGGACGAGATGGTCCAATTCCATGGCCAGGATAAAGCCCTTCTCTTATGCCCCAGGGTTCTTTTTTTTTTTTTTTTTTTTTTTTTTTTTAAGTATACATTAAGAAGACTGTGCACATTGAAATCATTATTGATATTAGCCAACTAAAATGCTGAATCAAAACCGTAATTGAAACTCTAACTCCACAGATGCTTCACAACACATGTAGGATGATTGAATATTGTATTGATGGCTGTCATGAAACCAATAATGCACATATCAAAATGTATTGAAATGGGTATAAAACTCTGTATTTTTCATATTATTTTAGTACTAAATTTATGCTTATATGTGTTTATTAATTTGCGTGATAAAATTTTGTAATCCAGGCATTCTTTTACGATAACCCTGTATCACATTTCACAATAATATTAAAGAAAACAGTTTTTAAAATGCAATGATGAAAAATATATATATATAAACTTATAAAATGAAAAAAATGAAAAATAATGTTGCAGATTTCATATGTAAATAATTTTTAAATGCTAATATATCCTTACACAATGTTGTCATTGAGCTTAACAAAATGAATAGTAATTGAAAAATCAACACAAAAAATAGCAAAGAAATAACATTTATAAAATTCAAGAAGACCTATATTAATATCTTTGCAAGTAATGCTTTACAGCAAGGGAATAAAATTAATAAAAAATAAATCAATATTACAGAAATTCAAACAGAAACAAGAAAAACAAGGTGACAAATAATGACATCATAACTTTAAAACTATGTTTCCAAGCAAAATCACGTGACGTCCAAGGAAGAACAGAAACTTCTCCTTCTGCCTGAAGTCACATTGCAATATGCATTATTATTTTTTTAATATAGAAAAACCATCCATTAAATATCTTTTGATCACTCTTGTTTTCAAAAAGGGTGAAGAGTTTATTTTAGAATCTGAAAAAATTTCAAAACTTTGTAAAATGCATTTTTAGATGCTAAAATTTTAAAATAATGTACATCAAATGGTTGGGAAGAAAAAATTAAGTAATTCCCAAAAATTTGCCAAAAAATCAGAAATTGTGTTACAAATTTCATATTACTTCATTTAACAGTTTTTTCTCCCATTTTATCTAATAGTTTAAACAGTAAAATTGAGAAATTGAGATCTTTAGTTTGTTCCTTAACTAAGGATATATGCAAACATCTCAGATTTAAATTTGAAAAAATTTAAATTAATTTTGAAAAATCTCTTTATTGTACTCTCATCCACAAAGAAAGTGTTTGCAAAATTTGAGCTTTATAGCTTATCAGGAAATGATTTAAAAATCTGTAGCAAAATTTTAACCATAGCGACAAGTTAAGTAAAAGGCTAAAAAAAAAAAATAAATAAATAAATAAATAAATAAAAGGTTTCCCTTTAAAAAATTTAGGTTGACCTTCTTAAAAAATGTTCTTCGAATAAAACTTAACTAATGCTATTTGTTCTCTCAGCAGCTACTTATTTGCTTAACTTTTGAAATAGTTCTTCCTAAAATGCTTCATTTGCATGATATTTTATATTATCAACTTTAAATGGTTCACTGCATACACGCACACATTAGCAATAATAACATACAATACAATAGCAATAATAAGAATAATGCAATTAGTTTTATAAAAGCAATTACAGTATTTTACCTGAACAGCATATAAGAGGAAAGAAATGCAAAGCATGATGCTGTTAGGTATGTATTATGCCCTAATTGTTAAATAAATTGTTTTAAAACTTTCTATAAAAATACTGCCAGTACTGCTTCCCTCCCTCCTCCCTTTTCTCTCACAATAGTATTCATATTTCATACCTTATTTTAAATGACTGATGGATATCACAAAGTTGTATTCCTACTTTAAAGTAAGAATATTATCTAAACTATAGTGTCATGAATTTTGTACATAGTTGTACATTTTAATGAAATTATTATATTTTTCTGTATAATGTACCATGAACATCTACAAAGAGGATGATCTGCTAGAAAAATAAGAATATAAGGGCAAAGTCTATTTAACATTGAGTAAATGGCTATCTTGCTAATCTGGAAAGAAATCGCCAAAAGTCACCAAATTTAGTGAATGGAGAGAGCATTTGGTTGGGCAAATTTGCATTAGGTTGGCGACATTTTGGTCTGGTCCCTGTATCAACATAATAGGTGTCGTAATTGAATAATTGCAATTGATTTTTGATGCTCTGTAACTGTTCGGCGCTCATATGCCCTTCAGTAATTTTGAGAAGCAGAAAGTACTAGAAATATCTTGGCAGTTGTGTGCAAACTTTATAAGACTGGAGACAGCATTTGCTCTGAGTAGTTGTTGTTGTGAGCTATTAGTTCAAAGTGACTTCAAAGTATTGAAAGCTTTGCCTTTTAGGTACATTTTGCTTGCATTGTCTTTAACGTTCTTAGTAGTTTGAACTGTAACTACTGATCGTACTCTGTGACACGGTGAAAACTTGTACAACTATTTTTGTAGAAAGTTCCAGATCTGTGAAGTGTTTCTTTCGGTAAAATACATTTTATCTATCTATCATCGGACCTGCTGGCATTCATTCTATTACAGACCCATATGCATGCAACAACGTTTAATATTTGTAAGATGTTAGGATGAACTCAGGTATAATGTATATTTGTGTTAGAAAAGTGAGTCATATCTAATATATCTCCCTAAAATTTATAAATACTGTATATATATTTTTAATTGAAAGCTGGAAAAATAGATATTTTTCTAAAACAATTTTTGGAAACGAAATTAAGGTCTTTTTTACATTTATTTATGGAAAAATAATCAACTTACTTTTGTAAGAAGTTCTCGTGGAGAACGAACCACGGTAGGTTTCTGACGCATTATTTCCTGCAAGAAGAAATGTTTAATTCATATTTATATTCATCATTATTTGAATATGAAAGGGGAATAATAATAAATCTTTCCAAGAAAAGAGAATGGTAGAAAAATTAAACCACCACAATGCTATGCAAATACATAGTCACGTGGCAATTACAACACCATTTTGCTTTCAATAAAGTTACCATGGACTTTCTAATAAGGCATGTTTAATACATGAAGAAAACATCTTTCCCAGAAGCAGATCTCAAGATGTAATTACTTGGGAATTTTATTAATTTAATACACAAAAAAAATGCAATAAAGGAAATGTTCAAAATATCTATGCCCTGTTTCCATAACTACGAAAACTAGAATTTCATATACATATAATAACACAACTTCTTTATTAAGAAATTTCTTTCAAAATATAGTTATTTTTCTCTCTGAAAATACACAGCATAAAATCCAAAATCTTGACATAAGATATGCAAACCTCCAGACCACAACCAATATATATATATTCACCTGCAAAATTAAGAGGCTTTGCACATTATACTGAATTTCTGAAAAACTAATGGACAGATTTTAATGAACTTTGGTACGAATATACATTTATAACACAGATGTACCATTCAAGTGAGTTTATGTATGCATGATATATCCAAAATTCATGTTGCAATATTGAACTGAAAATGATCTAATATGCAGTATAGTTTCCTTTCACAGTCTTTTATTCAAGAAAATGCTGTATGTTTAATTTGTTATCATTCAATTTCAACTTTAAAATCATACAACCTAAAAAGACACCATGAACAAAAACATGGAGAAATTGATAAACTTGCTGTCGGCGAACAGAAAGCTAAATTACAATCTTTGAAGAACAATTTGACATCTCAACAATACATATTTCATAAGCAAACTGCCCAATCAAATGTTATTGTCAGTGCTAGCTTTCAAGTATCCCAAATTATTGCTAAAAATATGAAGCTTTTTACAGACAGTAACTATTTCAATGACTGTCTAATCACCATAGTTGAAGAAATCTGTCCAGAAAAACTGAATCTCTTTACTCAAATTAATCTATCATGTCAAACTGTAGAAAGAAGAATAGAAAATATTTCGAGTGAGATTTGTGCATTACTGAACACAATTACAACAAGCTTCATATATTTACCACAACCAATATATGTGGTATCTCACTGGCTTTGGATCAAACGTCGGATATAAATAATACTGCTCAACTTGCTATTTTTATTAGAGGTGTTGACAGTCAAATGAATATTACTGAAGAACTACTAAAAATTGTGAGTTTGAAAGATACTACCACTGGAAGAGATATTAAGGATGCTGTCATAAATTGCGCACAAAGTCATTCAGATAGATTTGAAAAATCTTGTCGGCATTGCAACAGATGGAACCCTTTCAATAGTTGGAAAAAATGTTGGTGCTGTTACATTAATTTTTGATCACATAAAAGCATAACACAAAGATCAGTTCAAATGATTTTGAAATGTTCATTTGTCATTGTTTTTTTTTTTGCACCTTGAGAATCTATGTGCACAAGAGTTAAATATGTCTCATGGAATGAAATTTGTTAAGGTAATTAATTCAATTAAAAACAATCCACTGAAGCATTGTCAATTTCAAGAATATTTTAGGGAATTGGAATCTGAATACAGCGATCTCATTTATTACACCAAAATTCGGTGGTTAAGTCACGGAAACTGCTTATTGAGATTTTGGAAATTAAGGGAAGAAATTGAAACTTTCACGAACAATAATGGTCATAATATAAGTGAACTTTCAGATGATCAATGTTTTCTAACAGATATAACAATGAAACTGAATGAGATAAACCAGAAGTTACAAGGTGAAAATAAGTTGATTACCTACTGTTATCAGGATATAAAAGCCTTTGTAGCAAAGCTTCAGCTTTATGAAAATCAATTGCTCTCAAACAATTTATTTCCCGTTGTTAAATGACTATAAAAGTGACCATAAAAACTTCTTCAAATATTCTATGGAAATTGAAAAATTACTTGAAGAATTCAACACCAGATTCTCCTACATACAAAAGTTTGAGAAATGTTTACAATATTTTAAGCTTCATTTAACGTAGAGGTGGAATCGGAGCCTCCAAATTTGCAAATGGAGCGAACATAATTACAATCAAGCATCAAGCTAAAAAGCCTATGCGAAGGGAATAAGATTGAATATTATCAAAAATATATCCTCGAAGATAAATTTCCAAATTTAAAATGATTGGCTATGCGCATTACATCAGCATTTGGAACTACTTATCACTGTGAGTCATTTTTTCCCAAATTAAAGCTAGTAAAAACAAAGTATCACAGCAGGTTGCTCAATGAAAACATGACCAATCAACTATGATGAGCATCAATTAAATTATCCATTGATATTAAAAAAATCTCAAAATACAAAAACAAGTGTCACATTAATTGTAAGGTAATAAAATATTTTGAATGCTGTACAATAATAACAGATTTTGAATAATTTATTGTTTTATTTTGATATGTGCGGCACATCTCAGTTTAGTAAATTTTACTTGGACCACAAACCGATTTCGGTTGGGCACCTCTGGGTTAGATGGCACTGCAAATTAACATAGCAATACTTAGAGATTCCAGTTACAAAGCTGTGTTAGATCACTGGAGTTAAAATGTAGAAAACATTAAGAGTTACGGCAATGAAGGCAGTATGGCTCAAACCATACTTTTCACAATGAGACACAATTATGTTTTGGGCTGATTCTTCTAATAATGTTAATTCGGCAATTTTTATCACTTAATTAACAAATAACTTTTTAAAATATATTTATAATTAATTTTTAATACAGCCAAGCCATTACATTTCTCCATTTTATTTTATTTAAATTCTTAAAAATTAAATTTTAAATTGCAAAACATAATGATGGCTTTACAGACTTACTGCCTAAAATAGCTACGACAGCTGCATGTTGGCACCTTACAAATAGTATATAGGATGCATAGGAAAGTCTCTTTAACCTGAAAATACTTGCAAATGGAGAGAGCTACAGCTATGCAAGTGAGGTATAGTAAAGCAACTATGCCCAACCTAATGCAAATGACAGCATCACCCTTAGAGGTAAAATTTGGAAGACAGGCATTGTAAATCGAAAATGAAAAGAGATAGAGCAAAAGTTCCAATTAGAAAATTTTAGAGCATCAATTAATTAGTATGAAACAACATTTGGTTCTTAAGATAAACTGTTGCCTGTATACCCAAAGATGTTTGCAATCGATGCACTCCATTTTGTGCAAACGTTTGAAAGAATAGCCATAGGTATTAAGAAATATGCAGCTTTTTATTGCATAAAATACATATTTACATCAATATAGTTTGATAACGTCACACACACACATACACAAAAATAAATAAAAACGCAAAAGCAAAAACTATCACACAGTGATAACAAGTTAATGTTATCGTCTCTATCAAGATTATAATGAGGTTTGAGATTATGCTGTTTGCATAAAGCAAGAGCCAATACCTTTTAAACTAAAATTTTAAATGCATTGGAAACTAAAGTTTTACAGACATTACAGTACAGTACAATGTAATAACCTGCAATTGTGAACTGCTACATTTCTGAAATGTGAATATGCAGAGTAGAATAATTGTACATCAATTGCGGACATCTTTGGGTATACAGGAGACAGTCTATCTTATCTGTGTGAACTAAATGTTGTTTCATACTAATTAAATGATGCCCTAAAACTTTTTAATTGAAATTTTGCTTTATCTCTTTTCATTTTTGATTTGCAATGCCCATCTTCCAAATTTTGGCTCTAGGGACACTGCTGTCATTTGCATAACGTCAGGTGTAGTTGCTTTACTATACTGTTACCACACTTGCATAGCTATAGCTCTCTCCATTCACAAGAACTTTCAGGTTAAAGGGATTTTCCTATGCACCATGTGCATTTGCAAAAATGTATTTAAACTTCCAATTCCATGAATACAAACACTGACAGGATTTCATGGCCTCTCATCATAATATTTCTATGGATCCTTATTTTATCAGAGTTTTTTTAGTTTTGTTTTTGTTTTTATTTTATGCAGCAAATAAAATTAACAACTATTATTCTATTTTTATCACAAATATTATGAAAATGAATGATTCAGCATTGGTATTTTTTCATCTATTACACATTTACATCCATTTGGTCCTTAACTGAAAACAATGTAAAAATATATATTGTATACGTTTAGTTTAGAACCTTTATTCAAACAAATATTTCATATTGATACACATTTGGACATTTATAGCAACCACGAAAGCAACCTGAAATGGCCTTCCAGTTATGAGCGGCAAATTTTTATTCTTTTCAGGAAACTCATTTTCAACTATTTTCTTATAAATCTTGTATGCTTCTTTTACAGGTCTCAGCAATTTAAGTATCAGAGCAAGCTTTTGACTATTGTCATTCATTTTCATATATTATTTTATTTCACATTGTCCATTTATACTTGCTAACTGACCATTGTTGAAACAATGTTAAAAGTATCTTTAAATAGAAAGCTATAAAACAATATCCCAATTAATTTTTATTTTAGTCAATACAAAATCATTTCATGATGCCTAGAAAAAAGGAAAATAATAAATCACCAGATATTGTTTCTCATAGAGATAAACGTGATTTAAGGGGAAAATGCTGCTTTCTTGTAAAAAATTAACATCTTTTATAGAAGATATAAGTTCCCAATTACTATGCTAAAAAATTAAGATTAACAAAAACTTTAATGGAAAAAAAAAAAAAAAAAAGTTATAGTTCATGATAAATTTTTAAAAACTTGAAAAAATATGTTTTTGTTTAAATGCCATAAACTGGCAACTAATGGGTTGCTACCAATAGTGATATTTAATAGTTCATATACCACATCTTACAACTGATTATACATGAATTGCCATTTTAATGCACAAGAGAGGTGTACAACATATGGATTTTTAGAGAGAATGTTTAATTAGCATCTTTTTTTGCCATTAGCTATAGCTCTAGGCCTGTTATAGTGAAATTTATTGAGAATGGAGAACAATGACCTCATTCAACTGCAGTATTTCTTATTTCTGGTACTTCGTTTTGGAATCAAAGGGGAAATCCTGGGTTGAGCAATGTAAATAAATAGAGCTGGCTATTAACTGATTGCTGATATAAATACATGGGGATGATCTTGATGCTTATGAACACTTTTGTTATTATTTTTGGCAATATAAGGATATATGTCCTACTATTTTAGAGGTTTTATTCATCCCTCTTAAGAGTTTAGCTAGAACTGAGGCAAATGTTCTGTGTATCGTTTAACAAAACATTTTTTAATTTCAAATGGCAAGGAAAAAATAACGATAAAATTTTCCATTTAATTCTGACAAATACCTGAGTGTTCCCCTCATAACATGCCAAAAATTAGAACATATGGACTACAATTTTAATTCATGCAAATTTTTATCAAAGTTAAACTTAGCAGCACAATTTGCCCAAAGCAACAAGAGAGTACATCCTGTCAGAGTGCCATCCCAAGAGACTGGTTCAGTGATTGAGATGCATGCCCCAAAAGGGTTAATCAGCCTTCTATGGAAGATTAAGGAGACACATATAGTAGTTATTCAAAAAGCAAGTAAAATATTTTTAACCCTCTCTCCTCCAGAAAATGTTGAAAATAAATCAGTACAATGTTCTTCTCAATTTCATTTACAAGCTTAAAATCTCTCTTCAGTACTTCATACGAAAAGTTATGAGTTACAATATTTATTTGCTAAAATAAGGTTAACAAAAAATCTATCTTTTAACCAAGTTAATAGTTTATGTAAAAAATGCAGAAAAAAATATGAATGAGATCATGAACAAAGAGGGGGAACATATATAGAATGGAACACTTAAGCTTCTGCCAAGCAAGTTATAATAACATGTGGCAAAATTACAAAGTCTAAATGAAAAAGGGGGAAGGAGAAGGAAAGAAAAAAATCAGCATTGGAATTTCAGCAAAAATTACAATTTAAAATAAATTCTGAACATACAGAAAAGAAAAGATTTTTTATTCCCAATATTAGGGCACATACCAGCCAGGTTGGTTAATCAAATTTCAAAATCGCTATGGTGTAAGGCAGTTAAAAATTTGGGGAGAAAAAGCTTCATCTAATACTGCAGCAGCTAAATAAATTGCAAATGAATTTAGCAGACTTATTAATAGCAAAAAGTTACCTTCAGAACAAATTTAAAATGCTGAGGAAACTGATCTTTTCTGGCAACATGCACCTTGCTGATCTTTGCAGAAAAGGCCTCCAACAGTTATGTTATCAAAGATTCTAAAGCAAGACATGCTATGTACATGCTACATACATGGCATGAGCAAATGCTGCAAGAACACAAAAATGTAAGCTTTTCATAGTCAAAAAAATACATGACTTCAGGCATTTAAAGGAGTCAAAAATTTCTGCGTCATCTATGATTCAAATAAAACAGCATGGATGACAAAAACATTCATTTCACGCCCAAGGCTCAACAGCATTTGAAACTGGCTGGGTTTACCAGAGGATACAGAAATTGTCCTAATTATAGATAAACGTTCAGCTTCACTTTTTTAATAAGACTTAACATATTAGCATCATTCTTTCTTCCATTCTAAACATCCATCATTCAGCCAACTGATATCAGAGTACTTCGTATGCAGAAATGAAGATCTTTTTGAATATTTTTGAAATCTACAGCAACTTCCTGAATAGTGGCAAGTTCATTCAAGAATTTTTGAAATATTTCAACATAAAATCTGCTGTATGGCACTTTGCAAGATCACAGGAGGATATGTCTTAAAAATGTTTGTCATAATTTATGGTCAGCTACAATATTTAATGGTGATGATGATAGCTGCAAAATTGAGAATTTTCAGTTATCACAAGAAAAAAGGCAAATTTTCCAATTATTGGAATTTGTGAAGAAATGTTGAAAATAAATGAAAATGATGAAACAGAAGTTTGTGAGTGCGATGACAATGCCCCAATCATCAACCAACTAGCACATGGCAAAATTTGCAGTATAGCTTTAAATCCATAACATATCACTACCAATAGTGAAGAAAGTAATGAAAAGGTTGCTGGGAATGAAAAAATTTTGAATGACAGTTTGAAATGAGAATTTCCAACACAGCAATTACAGGACCTAAACACTGGAACATTATAAGCGAATAAATAATGCCAATCTTTAAAATTAAAGAGAAAGTACAAAAAATAAAACACATTAAAAAACTTACATTGAAAGAAATGTTCACTAAAACAAATAAATAAATGCTGAGAATTTTTTTTTAGTAAATTTCGATTCCCTTAAAATCATTATTTCATAAACAACTACATCATATTTTTAACTTTATAATTTCTGTGTGTCATATTACTATATTTAAACTAATGATCTAAAAACCTGAAAATTTCTAAAATCTGCTCAACAGCTCTGGATCTCAGATTTGTACTGTACAAATATACAGGGTGAAACTGGAAGACATTTCCTTCTGAATTAATTTTTTTGAAGAAAAAGATTTCTTAGTAACATTTATAGAAAACTTGTTAACTTACTTGTTTAATGATATCTTGAAGAGAACGGACTACCACAGGACTACTATGAACTTCCTACAAAAATAAAAATTTCTAATTAAATACTTCTACACATTTAATTGCTACTCGAATTAGAGAAGATTACAACTATAATATTTCTTGCAAAAGAAGAAAAATTCTAAAATAGTGAAACTTCGAATTTATTTTATTTAATCAAACACAACAAAGCAAATGAGGGCTATCTGCTTAACACAATGGATGCCTTTGGAGGATATTCTTGATAAAAGGAATTATTTTCAATATTTTGTATTCATGTTGCACATAGGAAAAATCAAAACAGTACCCATGCAGCCACATTATTTGCTGGGATTCAAACCTGTGTTTCACTACCAATGTTCAATGATCTTATCCACTTGACCACAATTGGGCTATTGGAAATTAATCATTACGAACAATGCACATAATTTCATTATGGTGATGTATAAGATTTTTTGCTTCAAAAAGCGTTTTCATGAAAAAATTTCTGATAAGACATGGTTATATATGAAGAAAACATTGAAATCATAAGAATCAAAACCATCCTTTTTATGAATAAAACTCAATATCAAATTACTTGCTTTCAGAGATTTTACCTTCTTAATCCTAAATAAAAAATTTTAAATCGGTACTTTTCCATTTTGCCGGCGCAAGCGATAAAATCGCCAAAAATGGTACAACCGATACCAAACGAAATTTCCTCACTGGTAATCATTTACGCCTCATTTTCAAAACAAGTCGCAGCCATTTCTTATCAGATTGATTGTTTCTTTCAATACTGGTGTACAATTACATGTAATTTTTACCCAGATAGTTAAATTTTATACCCTTAAATTCATCCATTCTAATGAGAATGCACTAGCGAAGTAAAAGCACTGCGGTTTTACATAATTTTGGAGTAAGCTATTCGTACAAATTGAAATAATTCTTGCATTTAAACTTGTATTACAAATTAAGATTTAACTTGAAATTAATGTAGATCATTACTGAGAGAATTAGATTTTTGTAGCGTAGTGTAGCGGCAGCGCCAAACAGGCGATACAGACTCAAAAACTCTGGAGAAAAACGCCAACTGGCGAAACAGTAAACCTGCTTGACAACCCTACGGGCTGACGGGAAGAGAAGAATTTTACCCGGCAGTTCTGGGTAACGACTTCAGTCTGTGTGTGCGTGCCTGTGAAACAACTCGTGCTTTCCACGTGATATGTAACTGCGATCAGTGTTGGGACTGTACGCTTCCTTAAGCCATTATTATGTATCTATATTACTTCTCCTTATTAAATCTCATTCTTAATGTTAAATGCCTATCTCAATTAAGATTGCTATTTTTCTAGGTAAGGTTATCTATACTTTTGTAGGCATGCGTTACTCGCGCGTACCTCAGTAGTTTACGGGAGATGAGATCACTAGGGGTGACGTGATAAGAAACTGCGAATCAGGGTGTTGAAAGCATAGTAAATTCCATTAAAAAACCATGAAAAAAACCATGAAAGCATAGTAAATTCTTAAATTAATGTCTTTTTACAAATTTATTGTCTTTTTACAAAATTTTAAGCGATATTAAAATATTCATACCTTCAAAATAAAAATTCTTAGAACTAACATTTGTTAAAATTTTTTATGCGTATACTGTGTGTTGACGCCAATAAAGTCTGCATGGTGACATTTGCGCCGGCGAAACAGAAAAGTACCAAAAAATCATATTGTCTTTAGCATATCTTACACTATATGTAAGATACTATGGTCTGTTACTTTAAAATAAGTATTTTAACTATTCTCTAAAAAAAATATGCTTCATATTATGATAATGGTCACAGAAGATAAAAGATTGATGCTTCTAATTTACTAAAATTCCCTGATCTTATCTGTGCAGTGATAAGGACACACATTACGATCATTGATGAGGGGAGGATCGCTCTAACTTTAAAGTGCCTGTTTTTACAGAGGCAGATTATATATGCACGTCATTGAAAAAAAAAAAAAAAGAGAGAGAGAGAGAGAGAGAGGTTCAACTTTTGTTTCAATGCTCAAATTCTTCAAAATTATACAGGTCCTACAGTAAGGTAAATATGAATAGAAAGTGTTCATTGCTAAAAAAATATATGAGAAAAATCAAGAGTAAAATTCAAAATTATAGAGTAAAGCATTATTCCTATTATTTACATAACATTCTTTGTGGCAAGCACCACCAGTTGCATAAAGTTGTCAGCTAAAAAAGTTCTTAAATTAAATGCTGCTGCTGCCAGCCTTTTTTTCACCCTAGTTTTTTTTTTTTTTTTTAATATTTTTAATGCTATTTTATTTTGAAACAAAAGTAATTCATGAAAAATATATTTAAAGAAAGTAAGGAAAAACTAAGAATTACCAAATATTGTGCTAAAATTAACTTTCAATATTTTTTGATAAATTTATTTATTTCCCACAGATTTGTCATAAATTTTTTCAGAAAAACAGTACTCACACTAGGGCATACTGAATAAATGACAGTTTTATCAAATTAAAATTTCTGTTATGTATTTGCAAAACATAAAAATATAAATGTATATGATTTGTCAATAATTTAAAGTAGCAAATCAATTAGAATTGTACAAACAGATACCCTGATCCAATAAATATTAAAATATATATGCAGTTCTAACACATTATTTAAAATGCATCACCTACGTTAGTGTATAAATTCCAACGAGAGCCTTGTTGCCAAGATTTCTACTATCACTGTCATAGTTCGAAAAATGTCTAATATTTTTGAAAATGTGTACTAATAATTACTTGAAGGTGTGAAGCCTGCACTGGTGTTCACAATTGCCTTTTTAAGCTGTTTCTGTAATCTGTTTTGTAATATGTTCAAGTTTTCCTTCCCCATTTTATTTTTATATTGCTAAACCCTATCATTTCATAGCTTGAATTATATTCATACAATTAGGATAAAACCTTTTTTTGGCACATTTTATCATCCCTTAAAGTTTTGAATTTGGTTGCAGATGTTACAAATATCAATTTTCCCATCTGTGTTATTCAAGATTGCATCAAACCAGTTAATTCCAATGCAGGAATAGTATACAGCTATAAAATTTCTAGTTATTTTTTAAATTTCCCCAGACACCTCTTTAATTCAGACATTATTAGAGACTTAGGGGAGTTAGAAATTATAGCAGCTTCTTCAGAAAGAGGCCGAACACCTGAAAGGATAATATAACAGCTAACAAATGATACTGATGACTTTCCCAGAATACATTCAATACTCTGGGAACTCTGAGAGTAGAAGGATTCAATTTTACTCAGTACTCTGGGAGTAGAAGGATTCAATTTTAAACCATATATTTGCAATCTCTCATAATTCAAACATAATTGACTCTTATGGTCATCTTCATTTGCTGAGCCAGAGTGTACTAGATGAAAATATCTTTGGAATGTTTGGCCTACATTTCGCAAACTAAACGGGGTTTTAACAAACTCAAACAATTTAAATGGGGTAATCAGGGGTAGTCGTAGCTGTTTCAGCCATGTTTTCTGGATTAACAGGGATTTGTTGGTACGCCCTAGCTAAATCAAATGTTAAAAAAATATTTTTTCAAAGGGGAAGAAAAAAAAAAATCTGTGTACTGTCCTTCATATACAGTAGGGGATACTGGTCAGGAACAGACACAGTATTCAAGTGGTGATAGTAACCGCAAGGGTGACAGTCACTATTAGCCCTATGGTTAGTGATTTGACATTTTCCGCTTTATGAAGGAAACACGCAAGCTGATATTTCCTTGCACACTAATCAAAATTTACATTACAGAAAGTCTGTTCTGTTTGCTTTTTGTAATAATGAGTGCATTTGCGTGACCTAATGTGCCGGAGCAAATGCTGAAAATTGCAGTTAGGACTGTGAGAATCACATCCCAAGGCAGAGGTTAACTCAACAACTTGCTTTGTCAGTTCCACTATTCACTTGCAAATTCACTTGGCTCAGGGGTCACAATAGCCATGTTCACATAAGAGTGAGGTTCGAGCTCAAAAATCTTAAAAGCAACTGTAGCCAATTTACTCAAACCATCTTCACAGAGAGCAGCCAAAATAGATTGTGTATTATTGGAAAGCCTTCCAAGCCACAAAGAGCTTAATAAGGATTCATCTACGGTACCTTTTGCTACGGCGCACATGAGAGTCAACAACTGAGAATGGTGCTGGTTGCCAAGACATTATAACAGAGTACAAATTTTTGGCACTTTGTTTTCAGAATGTATTGTAATAAATATTTGTTTTAGGATATCATATTTTCCAGTAGCGGAAGATTTTAAAATAATATCACTACCAGAATTAAGTACAACAGAATCCATACTGGAAAGGGAAAATCATGATTTTAGTCTAAATACCATAATGCAGGGCTTTTTCAAAAAGGCGATAATTTAACTAAAACATGTAATACCTGCATAGCTACTGTATTTTCAATTAGAAAATCATTGTTAAGAATTTTCATAACTCAAGATGACTATTAAATTTAGAAAAGATGTATGGTTCTAACTGCAAACACAAGAAAAATATCAATAATAAAGAATGGCATAAAAGGTCAGAAGACCTATCATGCATCTACAACCATTAGGGATACACATGACAATGAAAAATACGTTAACATTAACAGCTTGCCTGATTATCCCGGGTTCGTACATATTGCAGTTAATTATTATCCCGAGAAAACTCGGGGCAAAGCAGAATTTGTCGGTACGATTTGTTTTATCATGGTTTCACTCGGCTTGGAGGAAATGAAAGGAAATATTCAGCTTTTATTGGCAATTCGCCAAGTTTTAATGGTTTCACGGTTCTTTTGGCGGAACTGGTCACGTGTTTTCCCTATTGTCTAGTATACGTCGGCTTGTGGATTAGTAATGCATAAAAAGAATGATAGTTGTGTTGAAAAAAGTAAAATAATGGCGATGATGCAAGATGGCGAAAGCGATGATTTTTCAGATAGTGATTATAACCTCAAGGCATTTTTCAGATGTTATTCCTGCTTCTGAAAAAAAATAAAATCCAATGAGACAGTGTCCTCTATGCTCCCGCAAAAGAGATTCCAGAGGTAAGCCAGTAAAAGAGACCAGATACCAGTGTATAGAATGTTAGATATCACTTTGTGTTGCCTCTTGTTTCAAAAACTCTCATACAACGACTAATATTTAATTTTTTTTTTATTTGCCCGAGATAACTCGGGATAGTTACTAATATAAAAACTAATATAAAAACTAATATAAAAACTAATATAAAAACTAAATGCTTTTACACCTGTAAAAAATTAAAAATTCAACTTAAAACCTATATATTTTGTTTTGTTTTGTTTCGTTTCCTAGTATTTAATAATAAAATTAAAAAAATGTGATGATTTTTCGCAATTTTTTTCAAAAAAATGTGTAAGGGAAGCGATTAACAAAATGTAAAATATTTACCTCATAATGTACTGCACACATTATCAATAAAGGAAACATCGACTCCAATGAATGCCAAGAATACACGATAAAAAATATTTTCTTCAAAAAATACACTTTAAAGTTATTCGTCAAATTTTTCAAAAATTCAATAAAATCTGAAAAACTTAAATGCCAAAAAAACAATCGTATGAAAAAAATTAATTTAATCCTACCAACATTCAACAAAAATACAATAAAATTTGAAAAACACCAACTTAAATTCCAAAAAACTGTCAGAAGAAAAAAATAATTTAATTCTACCAACATTAAAAAAAATTATAATTTTAAAAAGTTAATCCAGCTTCAGAACCGACACACAAACTGACGAAAACCTTCACCAAAATATTCTTGAGAATCATTTGTCCTGACATAATACCACAGTGAAATCACAAAACCTATCCAGGTTGCTCAAAAACTTCCTCCAGCAGCACATGTAATTGCAACTTACTTCATTCGTCACTCCTTCTACAAGGAAGTTAGAACAATGCAGAATAAGGGGAATAATAGATTTTGGACCACAAGATTTTATAACTGGAGAAGCGTCTTTCATACAAATAATACATGGGTTAAAATCACAACCAGTTTTCAAGGTAGATATATCTGCAACATAAGATGTACTAGTGTAGTTCTTTCTTTAGGTCATCAAATATAATGATGTTTTATCGCAATTATACTCCACCAGAAGGTCATTAGACAGGCTTAAGAACCATAAACTTTAGCTAACAATTAAAACTCTGAGTATAGCAATCTTGCAGAAAAAGACTGGAATACAAAAATTCACATCTATACAGGAAAAATGCATTGCAATGGCAGTTGAGAATATCACTGAAAAAAAGGTACAGGAAATTCCAAATTCTTTCTTGCAGCTGCTAAAAATTTTAAAAAGTCCAGATACTTATTGCATATTATTATAGGATGGTAGTTAAAAAGTAAAGAATTCTTAGCAGTGTTTATGGAAAATAATTAGCTCACCTCCTTAGTGGTATCTTGAGTGGCACGAGCTTCCTTTGTTGTCTAGAAAAGAGAAGACAATAACAAATTTTCAAAGCAAAAGAAAATAATTCAAATAAAAAATTAAATTATTGTTTTGAAATGTAAATACACATAGTCAAATTACGATAAAATCTAAGAAGGTGGTGCTTAGGAGAATTTTTCACTGAAGACTTTTATGATAAGGCATAGTTAATTATGTGTAAAGTATAACTTTATTACACTAAAGCTAATACTCAACATAGAATAAACTTGTTAGAACAACAAATAAACAGTAAAGAAGTATTTGAACTAGTTCTTTAATTGTATCTAGCAACTAATATTTTCTAGATACAATTAAATATATAATACATAAGTCTTATCTGTCATCACAAAAACAGAAACAATTAACATAAAAAATATCAGTGTTGCGTTGTCAACAGTTTCTTTTTATGGTTGATTAGTCTCTAATTTTTCATAAACCTATTATCATAACCTCACACAAGATAAGTAACTGAATCTTTTTAAAATGTTCCTCTCCAAATGTTAGCAATTTATCTTTCTGAGACTTTTTAACTCAGTACAATTTCTTTTCCATTACTTTTCTCATAAACGAAATACATTGTTTCTATGTACTTGTTCCTCCCATGACATTTTGGATTTTGTGCTGGTTTTGTAGCTTCTTTAATGCTTACTAGAAGTACATGCATTTCCATCAAGTTTGATAAAGCACACCAGTGACTGAAAAGGGGGGAAGTGATCACATGTAGTTTGATCTTGGTTCAAATCCTAGCAAACAGACTAGCTGCATTAAACGTTTAATGGTTTTCTTATATGCAACATGGCTTAAGCCAGTTTCCCTTAAAAAGTCCTTCATGAAGGCATTTCTCCCTTTAGGCAGATAAGCTCTCATATGCTTTGCCATAATATAAATAATTTGAATTACTTCACTACACACTGATACAATCTCTGAAATAAGAGAAGTTCTTTAAAAGCTTCAATTGTTATTACTAATTTACTTTTATGTTTGAATACTATTTATTACCTGTCTCAGAATATGCCAATAGATTATTCTTCCAACATAAATTTTCATAACAAAGATGCAGATCTCCCAGTTTTGGTGCATCCACTAAAATCTATAGTACATTTTTTATACCAGTTACTTGATGCTGAAATTAATTATATCAGTTTATCACTTATAGCTAAAAAGCTAAGTAGTGAAGGTTTTTTTTTTTTTTTTTTTTAATTTTTATTTTTAAAACCAATCATGCTTTTGGATGGCAATTGCATCCAACAAGGAAATTAGTTTCCTTCATTTTTCTGAGCTTCTATAATTCTAATTGCTTCAACAAAGGCATTGTTACAGGTTTACAGGCATTAAATATAAAGCACATAAAAACTCTTCTGATTTTTTTTTTAAAGTTAATTGTAATGACATCATTTCTATTATTTTCACGATACTACAAAGTAAGGGAATTTTCCAACAAAAATTTTGAATATTGCTTTTAATGACTGTTTCATGCTTTGCAGATCAGTTACACTAATTAGACCATTATCAACATCTGAATCACTAGATGTTTCTCATACTTTTCTTAAATAAAAGAAAAGATCAGATTTACCTGCTCTAAAACCAAGTTTTAATAGAAACTGCCCAAAAAAAATTATGTCAATAATATAAAATTTGTTTTAAGTCATATAAACAGCACTTGGGCTTATAAACATGTTTTGTGTGACTTCAACAAGCTTTAGCTGTTGTAAGTAAATAATATCCTCTAGCTCTCTACACAAAAATGTTGTTGACATAAAAGTACATATGACATATCAAACCATGGATTTTTTTACCCAGCACTGTAAATATGGTTTCCAGTTTGGCTGTTGGTCTGTACATGTCACAGTAACTAATGCTTTGACACTGATTGAAATCTTTAACAACAAATCTGGCTTTATACTTGTTTAAACTTATCCTTGTATTATATGCTACTTAAAAGCATAGCTTTGAAATCTGATTTTCCTTCAGCAAAATCACTTCATTATCCATGTCATGCTTCCAGTTTTCACTCTACTTACTTCGCATTGATTCTTCGTGCTTCAGGATTATTAGTATTATTTACAAATGATTTAACTTCATGCTACAATGACTGAAATATATGGCTTACACAACTAAGGATGATTTCTTAGCTGCTTTTTAGAAGAAATGACAGTTCTTAAACCTTATGAACAATAAATGAGAGTTCTTAAAGCAAAATGAGAGTTAAAGAGTTAATGAAGAAACGAGAGTTCTTCATTAACTTTTGATCTCGTTATCACTTGCAATACATTTTCTTTTATCTGTTCTGTCTCTTGCTTTAACTGATCTGAGTAATTATAACATTTTTTCTTCTTTATCTTGTGATGATGGTGTACTGGCCTGCTCTTTCTAAAAAGAAAAAAAAAAAAAAAAAAAAAAAAAAAAAAAAAAACTTAAACAGTATTACAGTTTTCTCCTCTCATTCAAATTCTACATTGTTTATTAAGAGTGCATCTTAAAACAGCCTTTGATAATTTTCTTGTATCTGTTTAGGACTGATTTAATACTTCTGTTTAGGATTGGAATAGAGCATAACAAGTGGATCCTATTACACGAAAGTGCTCTAATACAGTTTATTTTTAATCCATAGTTTCCATGGATTATTTGTCTTCTACTAAATGACTAGTCCAGTGCTGGTTCCAGGGGTATGCAACCTGTGCCACGGCACAGGGCGGCGAGTGAGTAGGAGCACCAGTTCCTAATCATAAATTTGGAAATTTGCATACATTATATCATTGCTGACTGAAACAGAACAGAAAGCTAACCTAAAGCATAGCAAGCAGCTAAACCCTGATAGGAATTGAAAAAAAATAAACCAATCAGAAAATGCCATTGTTGGCAACATTTTCACTAAATGTAACTTTTGAGCAAAACTAGTATTACAAGACTGTGCTTGTTAATGTTATGGTAAGTTTCATTACACTTCTTGAGAAGAAGTACTAATTCAATTTATTTTTGTTATTATTTTGTGATATACAGATATGATTCGATAATTCAATATATTATAGAGGAGACAGGTCAAGAATACACAATATTTTTATAGTAAATAAATTAAAACTGAATTTTGAAAACAAATATAACCCTAATAGTTTAACCTATTCAGTTTGGTTTCTCAATGCCAAATTACATTTTGATTTTCCATATTGTTAATTTTGGCAAATATTATTGTATTGTGAAATTTCTTTGCTTTTTATTTATTTCAAAATAATTGGTGATATCTAGGTCTTGTATTATTTCATACAATGTACACATTGTAAAATTCAATATAAAAAAAAAAATTCAGAATAGACAAATTTCAGAATTTTTAACTAGCAGATCTTGGAAACCTCTTTTTTTTTTTTTTTGTGTGTGTGTGTGTGTACATGTATCCTTCCTACAGTACAGCATCTTGTAACATGGTTTCGCTATAAAATGATTCATAAATTGCAAGAACTCTCCTACAACACAGCAGCCTATAACATAGTTTCACTCTAACAAGATAAGAAAATTGCCCAAGAAATCCAAAGACCTTTAACAAACTCGACAAAGTTTTTCCATATTGAGCAAAGCACCCACATATTCATTTAACACTTAAGAATCCTTGTTTGGCAAATCTTGCCAGTTATCTTCTAAGATTTGGTTCCCATAGGAACAAATGTCCTCGGAGATGAGCTATATGGTGAAGAGGGACCATTGAATTCTTTCTCACCATGACTTTGAAAGTATAGAATATTAGAAACAATACACAGTCTCAAGAGACCACAATCCCCAGATAACAATGAAGAAACTTCACTATCACAGAAGATTGAACAACATTAGCTCACAATAAAAGCTCAAAAATACAAAACCTATAAGTTCAGCTTCCAACATTTGAATTCTCATCTCTGTGACCTGAAAACAAAAGTGTCTCACACTTCTGGTAGGCAGTCTGTATTGAGCAATAGAATATTAAAGAATAACTTTTTGTCTTTAAGACATTAAACTTCAGTCCTAAGCCATTTCTGATAATTAAAAAAAAATCAAGAGGAAATTAATTTTTTTAGAAGTAAAGATACAAATCTTGGATCATCTTTTAAAAGAACAAAGAGCATCTCACATTGGAAAAAATCTTAATTTGAATGAAGCAACAATTCGGACTATTAAGAAAAAGCAAAAGGGAAAAGGGTACTATTCCGTTTTGCGGGCCGTAAAAAAATTGCAGCAAAAATGTATGTGCAAAAGCGCCAAATCTAGCAAACGTGGCCATTTAACAGCATGCCAAATCTAGCGTACGCGCTGATTTCAGATTGCGTAAGTTCATATAGTTCTATTCTTAAGACGCCATTTAAATACTAGTTTAATTTTTAAATCCTTTTTTGATATCCTATGGATTTAACAATTTGGGAATTGCCCATGACGAAAAGTCTGTGATAGAATTTTGGGTAAAGTGCAGAATTACCCACTGCTTGACGTGTTTTTAAGAATTGCACATACTCGGTATCCATTTACACATCAACTTATTTTCACTTAAAAAAAAATACCGGAATTCCACAAAAATGGCATTGTGCACACCCTTGACTTTATCTATGTACACATCGACCTATTGTCACTTAAAAAGTAAAAGAAAATTGAAATTGTTTTTACCCTTGTAAAAAGCGGCAAACAAATAAGTGGGCAATTCTGTACTTTACCGAGAGTGTTTTCAAAGAAAGGGCATCATTCATTATAGGAAATTATGTTTGAACAACCAATGAGATGACATTATGCTTTAGCGATAACTCTATAGCGAAATAGCGATGCAGGCATCCATTCAGTTATGTTTAGCAATTGTTATATATTAAATTATAATAATGATCTGAATAGATATTTACTCTAATGCTTCCATTCAGTCATGTTTAGCCTTTTATATATAAATTATAATAATAAAAAAGTATTATATGAAATTAACCTTTCATCTAAATTAAAACATCAATCTTAGATAGTAATTTACTATTATACTTCCTTTCTTGCATTAGGGTTG